AACGATTAACCGGTGGAACTACCTGCCTCCAGACGTTGTGGGTGCTCCATCCCTGGAGGTTTTCCAGAAGAGATTCGACAACCGTTGGTTTGGAAGGGTCTGGGGCCTCCTGACCAAGCAGGAGGTTGGACTAGAAGACCTCCAGGGTCCCTTCCAGCTCTGCTATTCCTGTGGCGTTCCTATGAGGAAGGGGCTAGGATCAGCAAGCAGAATTTCCAAAGAAGCCTGGACTTCAGGAGCAAAGGAAAGAAAAGGTGGCGTTCTCAGCTCTCTCCGGCCAAAACTGACCTTTGCCCTTCCAGGCGAGGAAAGTGAATTCTTTCAACTGTCTCTGTTCAGGAGAGTTTTCACTTTCAGCCCACCCACTCATGGATCCCATCTCAGCACCAGTGGGAAACTCTGACCTCGGCTCCATCTGGGAGTTTATTTGCACCAAGCCCCAGAGAACTTCTCTGCAAATGAGCTTTTGTTGGACCTGGGAGAAGACCTCCTCAGTTCCAAGGTTGCTTCTCTCCTTGTTGAGTTTCCACCCGTTGCTTCTTGTCCTGCCTTCAGGCGCTTTGGAGAATAGCCTGACTCCCTCTTCTTTGGGGCAGCCCCTGAGATACTGGAAGACTGCTATCCTGTCTTGCCTCGTCCTTCTCTTCATTAAACTAACAGAATGCTGGAAGGGACCTTGGAGGTCTTCTAGTCCCACCCCCTGCTCAGGCAGGAAACCTTAGACCAGTGTTTCTCAACCTTGACAACTTTAGGGCATGTGGACTTCAACTCCCAGAATTCCAGAGCCAGCAATACTGGCTGTGGAATTCTGGGAGTTGAAGTTCACATGCCTTAAAGTTGTCAAGGTTGAGAAACACTGCCTTAGACCATTTCAGACCAATGGCTGTCCAGTTTCTTCTTAAAAACCTCCAGTGTTGGAGCATTCACCACTTCTGGAGGCAGGTTGTTCCACTGGCTAATTGTTCTCCCTGTCAGGAAGTTTCTCCTTAGTTCCAGGTGGCTTCTCTCCTTGATGAGTTTCCATCCGTTGCTTCTTGTCCTGCCTTCAGGCGCTTTGGAAAAGAGGTGGAGCCCCCCTCGTTTTTGTGGCAGATCCTCAAATACTTGAAGACTGCTATCATGTCACACTTCGTCCTTCTCTTCATTAAACTAACAGAAGAACAGACTTGGAAGGGACCTTGGAGGTCTTCTAGTCCAACCCCTGCTCAAAGCGAAGTCCTTGTATCATTCCAAACAAATCGTTGTCCAATCTTGAAAATCTGCAGTGATGGAGCACCCACAATTTCTGGAGGCAGGTTGTTCCACTGGTTAATTGTCCTCATTGTCAGGAAGTTTCTCCTTAGTTCCAGGTTGCTTCTCTCCTTGATTAGTTTCCATCCGTTGCTTCTTCTCCTGCTTTGGAGAACAGCTTGACTCCCTCTTCTTTGGGGCAGCCCCTGAGATACTGGAAGGCCGCTATCCTGTCACCCTCTTGTCCTTCTTTTCATTAAACTGGACATACCCAATTCCAGCAACTGTTCTTTGTATGTCTGAAATGGTATAGGGCTTCCTGCCTGAGCAGGGGGTTGGACTAGATGACCTACAAGGTCCCTTCCAACTTTATTATTGTTATCATTATCATTATTGTTGTTGTTGTAGCCTTCAGACCCTTGATCATCTTTACAGATGATTGTTAAGTCGAGAACCTCCCGTATAAGGTCTCCAACTCTGAGCAGGGGGTTGGACTAGAAGACCTCCAAAGTCCCTTCCAGCCTTATAATTCCCTTCTGTGTTCCAGGGATGGGAAGGCTGAGTCAGAAAAGCCGAAAGCCGACAGAGAGACCGGCCAGCTGACCAGCAGTAGGTGAAAGGCAAAAGTTTGCCAGAAGAATGTGCCCCCCCCATCCCCCTCCAGGAAACAGACCGAGGCCGAGACCGCAAAGTTGTAGAAGGCGACACTTTCTGAAGGACAGCACAGCGAGGAGCCTCCACGCCTCCCCCCCCCAGAGCCTTCTGCTTTCTGGAGATTAGCTCTCGGCTCCCGGAAAAGGAAAATATAACAAAATATTTGTTCCTCTGGCTGGGTGCTGTGTTGCTTTGTGCGATTGTGGGGCTGTACGCGGGCCTGTTCAGTTGGGTTTTACAGCCCTCCGGCATTGTTGTTCTAAAAAAGCAGGGCAGAATGCATGGAGTTTCAAAAAAATATATGCTTAAGGTTCTCACTTGGTGCATTTCTGTCTTTCTCTATTATCATTTCCCTCTCTCTCTTCTCACTATTATGTCTATCCTCTTTCTCTCTTATCTATCATCTATCTTCTATTCTCTATATCTATTATCTGTATTATCTATGCTCTCTCAATCTATTATCTATTTTTTCTTTCTCTCCCTATTGTCTATCATCTTTCTATTCTCTCATTATCTTTCTCAATCTATTCTATTATGTCTATATCTATTAATTTCTATATCTATCTATCTATCTATCTATCTATCTATCTATCTATCTATCTATCTATCTATCTATCTATCTATCTATCCATTCATCCATCCATCCACCCACCCTCCCACCCACACACCCACCTACCTACCTATCTCTATCTATAAAATTTCTATATTGTCCATCTCCCCTACAAGACGACTCTGGGTGGCTTACAAATTATTGAAACAAATAAAAAATTCAAAAATTTAAACCAACCAATATGAAAAATATTAAAACCTCAGCTAAAATATTTCTAAGCTGGCCAGAGGTGCCTCCAGATGAAATGGGTGGCCCAGAAATCCAATAAATAAATAAATCGAATAAATAAAATCAATAAATCCAATAAATAAATACATTTAATAAATAAAATAAATAAATTATTTATTGCTGCGCCGAGGTGGCACAGCAGTTAGAGTGCAGTACTGCAGGCCACTTTAGCTGACTGTGTTCAGCAGGTCAGCGGTTCAAATCTCACCGGCTCAAGGTTGACTCAGCCTTCCATCCTTCCAGGGTAGGTAAAATGAGGACCCAGACACACACACACATACATACATACATTGCTTACTGGTGTACACCGCTTAGAGAGTGCTCGCACTTAAAGCGGTATATAAGTCTCATAAATAAATAAATAAATAAATAACTACATACGTACTCCTGTAGTTGGATTTCTATAGACCGTGATTCCTGCATCTTAGTTTGCTTTCCTGGGTCCCAGCATACTGTGTGAATTAGCCCTCAGATGAGGTTATGATATAGGGGCTAAACTTGGAAAATGGATTAGTTCGGTCACCGAGAGGCCTCTGTTGTGCAAACATCACAACTGGGGGGGGGGGGGGATGACACTTTTCTCATCTCTGAAACTTGTCCAATATCTTGGTGACTTTCAGGGGCATCTGATGGACATGTGAAACCTCTGTGCACGCAGGGGTAGCACATGCGTGATGCAGGTGAAAAAAAAACGGCAGGGTTTCAATGGCAGCTTTTGTGCCTCAGGTGGGACTAGAATTCACTGTCTTCTAGTGATTAGGCCACAGTCACCCAGTTGCTTTCATGCCTAAGGCGGGACTAGAAGTCACCGTCTCCTGGTGATTGGCCCAACGTCACCCAGCTGCTTTCATGCCTCAGGCGGGATTAGAACTCACCGTCTCCTGGTGGCTAGCATCAGGAGCTGGCTTTCACGGCTAAGAACTCTCTCCCCAGAATGAATAAATATCTGAGTTCTGCTCCAGGTAAACCTGGTAGAAAAATATACAAGGAAGTGGTAAGTTTCAAAGGTAAACCAGGTCCATGGAGGAGGGGAAGACCATCAAGGACCTTAATAATAATAGTAAACTTGGAAGGGCCCTTGGAGGTCATCTAGTCCAACCCCCCCCCCACTCAGGCAGGAAACCCTATACCATTTCAGACCAAGGGCTGTCCAGTCTCTTCTTAAAAACCACCAGTGTTGCAGCATTCACAGCTTCCTGAGGTAGGTTGTTCCACTGGTTAATTGTTCTGTCAGGAAGTTTCTCCTTAGTTCTAGGTTGTTTGGCTCAATGGCCAGCTATTTATCCTGGATAGTATAAGAACTCCTGTCCTGGGCAATCGGTTGGACTAGAAGACCTCTAAGGTCCCCTCCAGCCCTATGACTTTATGTCGATGTTTAAAATTCTGTAAGCAAATAAAGAACTAGACTCAAGAGGAACTCACGACGTCGTCGTTGGGCCTAAGAATGGGAGACCACCCAGTGATCCCAGGGCAACTGTTGTCGCATTCTGCTTTAGAACAATCGCCACTGACCCCAGTGGGGAGAAGAAGTCAGAGCAGGGGTCCCTGAGGTCTGGTGCTGCCTCTTTTTTCTTCGTGAGGGGTCCTCGGCAGTCTCTGTGCTTGGTTGATTTCTTGCAGACATTTCACGACCCTACTAGGGAACATCATCAGAGCATTGATGATGTTAGCTACTTTGGGTAATGAAACGCTGGCAAGAAAACAACAAAGTTCAGAGAGCACCAAGGACTCCTACAGTTGTTCTCCTCCTCCTCCTCCTCTCCACAAACCCCTTCCCTTCTAGCACTGATGATGTTCCCTAGTTGGGTCTTGAAACGTCTGCAAGAAAACCACCAAGCTGAATGAGCACCCAAGATCCCACAGTCCTCCTCCTCCTCTCTGCAAACCCCCCTCTCTTCTAGCACTGATGATGCTAGCTAGTTGGGTCATGAAATATCTGCAAGAAAACAGCCAGTCAGAGGACACCTAAGACTGCAGAGTTCTCCTCCTCCTCCTCCTCCTCTCCACAAAGCCCCCCCTCTCCTAGCACGGATGATATTACCTAGGTTGGGTAATAAAACATCTGCAAGCAAACAACCAAGTTCAGAGAGAGTTCTCCTCCTCCTCCTCCTCTCCACAACCCCACTCCCTACTAGCACTGATGATGTTCCCTAGTTGGGTCATGAAACGTCTGCAACTGCCGATTCAGAGAACACCAAGGACCATCTCAGTTCTCCTCCTCTTCCTCTCCACAAACACCCCCCCCCCTCGCATCCAGCCCTAATGATGTAACCTTCCATTTTTTGAAAGGAGAAACTTTATTTTCCATCTCAACTTTGCTTTCAGAACCCTCTGATGGAAAAGCTGGTCTCCACCAGGTTTTGCAAACCATTTTCATCCTGGAAGTGTATTTTGCCCACCAAATCCAGGACGGAATCCCACCACCCCTTTTTTTTGCTCAGCAAAATGGTAGGGCCAGAGCGGTCTTGCTGTCCTTTCTTGGTCCAGATGTGCTGCAGAGGCTGGTGGGCCGGAAAGTCAGCTGAGGCTCTCCAGGCTGGCTTTAATTCTCTCCATCTCGTGGAGGAAGCTGTAAAACTGGGGCAGGGTCAATTCTGGAAGGAGGAGGGCAGAAACATTCGAGATTAGGTACCTAGAGTTCTTTTAATTAATTTTTTTTAAACCCCATTTTCTCTCTTTTCTTTTTTTGACTTTGAGTCAAGGCAGCAAATACAATAATCTTTCCTCTTTGCCCCGTCACAACAATCTTGTGAGGTGGACTGGAGTGAGACAGACCGACAGACAGGCTGGCTTAAAGACACTCAGGTCGCCTTCGTGCCAGGCGTGAACTAACCGTCTCCTGGGGATTGTCCCAAAATCGCCCCGCCGCTTTCATGCCTAAGGCAGGACTAGAACTCACTGCCACCTGGTGATTGGGCCTAAACTCACCCAGCTGGCTTTCAGGCCTAAGGCAGGACTAGAACTCACTGCCACCTGGTGATTGGGCCTAAGCTCACCCAGCCAATTTTATGCTTAAGCAGGACTAGAACTCACCGTCACCTGGTGATTGGGCCTAAACTCACCCAGCTGCTTTCAGGCCTAAGGAAGGACTAGAACTCACTGTCACCTGGTGATTGAGCCTAAGCTCACCCAGCTGCTTTCAGGCCTAAGGCAGGACTAGAACTCACCGTCACCTGATGATTGGGCCTAAACTCACCCAGCCGCTTTTATGCCTAAGGCAGGACTGAAACTCACTGTCACCTGGTGATTGGGCCTAAGCTCACCCAGCCGCTTTCATCCCTAAGGCAGGACTAGAACTCACTGTCACCTAGTGATTGGGCCTAAACTCACCCAGCTGGCTTTCAGGCCCAAGGCAGGACTAAAATTCACTATCACCTGGTGATTGGGCCTAAGCTCACCCGGCCGCTTTTATGCCTAAGGCAGGACTAGAACTCACTGTCACTCACTGTCACCTGGTGATTGGGCCTAAGCTCACCCAGCCGGCTTTGAGGCCTAAGGCAGGACTAGAACTCACTGTCACCTGGTGATTGGGCCTAAGCTCACCCAGCTGTCTTTCAGGCCTAGGGTATGTTTGCCACCTTGAGTTATTTACTGAAAAACAGTAATAAGTGTGGGATACAAACCAACAGCTAAAATAAAATAAACATAATATAAAACAGCAAGAACACGAAAAGCATTTAAAAACATTTGAAATTAAGAATTAAAACACGGCTTCCAACCCGAACTCAGCCCAACAGTTCCGCCGCTAAGCCAGGCAGTTGTTCAGAAAGCTGTACGCCCCACTTCACGACATTCTTCGCCACAGTTGGTAAATGAATCACTACTGTCGTTAAGTGAAGTGCGCGGTCATTAAACGGGTCTGGCTTCCTCACTGACTTTGTCTGTGGGAAGCTAGCTGAAAAGGTCCCAAAAGGCGATCACCAGACTCCGGGATGCTGCAACTGTCCTATGTCCATGCCAGTTGCCAAGCGTTTTTGAGTTTTGGATCATGTGACCACGGAGCAAAGCTGCAACGTTCTTAAGGGTGTAAACCAGTTGTAAGTCACTGTTGTAACCACGGATGCTCATCAAACGAATAGTGGTTAAGTCAAGGACAATCTGTAGTACAGGCAGCTGGCTCGCCTCTTCTCCCTCCCTCCCTTCACCTGCAGGGTTTTCCCACAGGCCTTGCTGGCTTACTCACCCAGGTACACCGGCTCCGTCTGGCTGCCTTTCTTCACCACCAGTTTCAGCTACACCAATCATAAAAAGTTGGGTCAGTTACAACAAAGGAGGCAGGTGTTAGAAACCAAAAACCAACCCCTGGAATCTCCCACCATAAAACACTTGGGCAGGGGTAGGCCACCTTGGCTCTTTTATGACTGGTGGACTTCAACTCCCAGAATTCCTCAGCCAGCTATGCTGAGGGGAAAGGCAGAGGTTTCCAAGCTGAGCCATGCTGGCTCAGGAATTCTGGGAGTTGAAATCCACCAATCATGAGAGGGCCACAGTTCCCCCATGCTGGCTCAGGAATTCTGGGAGTTGAAGTCCCACCAGTCAAGAGGGGGCCATAGTTCCCTCATGCTGGCTCAGGAATTCTGGGAATTGAAGTCCACGAGTCATGAGGGGGCCATAGTTCCCCCATGCTGGCTCAGGAATTCTGGGAGTTGAAGTCCACCAGTCATGAGGGGGCCATAGTTCCCCCATGCTGGCTCAGGAATTCTGGGAGTTGAAGTCCACCAGTCATGAGGGGGCCATAGTTCCCCCATGCTGGCTCAGGAATTCTGGGAGTTGAAGTCCACGAGTCATGAGGGGACCATAGTTCCCCCATGCTGGCTCAGGAATTCTGGGAATTGAAGTCCACGAGTCATGAGGGGCCATAGTTCCTCATGCTGGCTCAGGAATTCTGGAAATTGAAGTCCACGAGTCATGAAAGGTCCATAGTTCCCCCATGCTGGCTCAGGAATTCTGGGAATTGAAGTCCACGAGTCATAAAACAGCCAAGGTTGCCTGCCCCTGCACTTGGGAGATGCAACAGATGAAATTCAGATGTCTCTGGAGATTCCCAATCATCCAGGCCACGATTGTCCCAAAGGTGCTTTTTTCAGGAGGCAACTGGACTTTCTTGGTTTTCCTTTTGAAGACCTTTTGCTTCTCATCCCAGAAGCGTCTTCAGGTTCTGGTGGAGAATGGAAAGATTTATACTCCTTGCAGAGCGCTGGTCGTTTGCCTTCTTTTAGAGCACGGGTGTCAAAACTCGATCGCGTCACGTGATGTATCGTGTTTTTTTTTGCCTTCGCGGAGCCAGGATGGGCGTGGACTGCATGCGGCCTATCCAGCTCGTGGGCCGCCAGTTTGACACCCGCATTTCAGAGTTATTGAGGCCACCTGGAGCTTTACCTGTGTTCTTGGGGTCACCTGAGTGGTGCAAATGGGTGTGGGGCCTTCTCCAAAAGAAGGTAAAGGAGCAGCTGTCTGCAAGGAGCATAAATCCTTCCATTCCCCACCATCCAGTCAGAACCCGAGGAAGCTTCTGGGATGAGAAACAAAACGTCTTCAAAGAGAAAGCATGGAAGTTCAGGTGCTGCCTGGAAAAAAGCACAGATGCACTTGGGACGGATGAAATTCAGGATTCTCGGATTTCCCGAAATCCAGGGAAGAAAAGTGGGAACAATTTTCCATTTGCGGGGGGGAAACATGGAGAGAAAATTCCTTACAGATAGTCCTCAACTGACTGAACTGAACCCCAAGATTTATGTTCCTAAGCGAGACCTTTGTTAAGTCACTTTTGCTCCATTTTACGAACTTTCTGCAGCTATTAAGTTAGAGAAGCAGCCTGGAACTAAGGAGAAACTTCCTGATAGTGAGAACAATGAGCCAGTGGAACTACCTGCCTCCAGAAGCGGTGAATGCTCCAGCACTGGAGGTTTTTAAGAAGAGACAGGGCAGCCCTTTGTTTGAAATGGTATAGGGTTTCCTGCCTGAGCAGGGGGTTGGACTAGATGACCTCCAAGATCCCTTCCAACTTTATTATTATTATTATTATTATTATTATTATTATTATTATTATTATTATTATTAGTCACACTGTTGTTAAATGAATCTGGACTCCACTCATCAGAAGTGCACAAAAAGTTGGGTCATGTGACATCGCAGCATGTCACAATGACACGCCACGGGTCCGGATTTTGATCGTGGGGCCACGGTGTGAAAAACAGCCCTAAGCTCACCTTACAACAAACCTACAACAGTTTGTAACTCAAGGACTATCTGTATACAGCAGCGGTTCTCAACCTGTGGGTCGCGACCCCATTTGGGGTCGAACGACCATTTCACGGGGGTCGCCAAACAACGCAGTCCGCCATTTTTTCCCCCCTTTTCCTTAGCTGTGCTATTGCCGCGTGGGGCCCGGCGGCTGCCTTATCCCCCTTGGGCTGGGCCAGCTGATGGCCCAGCGGGTGGTCGCTCTGCACCGTCACTGCCCCTTGCCAGCTACGCTTCGGCCGGCAGAGGGGGCGGCACCACGCATGCGCGGCGCTCCCGGGCAGGGAAAGTCCTTGACTTACGACCGGTTGGGTAGTCCTCGACTTACGACCGGTTGGGGGGGTCATGGCATTAAAAAGGTTGAGAACCACTGGTATACAGTTTCCTCTGCCCCGCCCCCCGGTCCTACCTGTCCCTTCCCCAAATCCATCTTACCTGCAAGAAAATGCTTCCTGCCTTTGCCAGCTCACTGCTTCCGGCCGTCACTGTTGGGAGAGAGAAAAGGTTTATACGCAGAGGTTGGCAAAGGCACCCCTCACTCTGCCCCCTCCCCCGTGCCCCCCCCCAGAAAAAAAACTCACCCCCAAATTTCCACTCCATGTCTATTAGCTGGTTAACCATCAGCGTCTGCCCCACGGCCAGTCGCGAGAGGGTGGGAGAGTTCCCCTTCCACTGAAATCAAGATAAAAAGGCACAATTTTAATTTTAATTGGAGGGGTTCGAGCCCTGCAAGGCAGCTACTGCGGGTCCTTGACTTACGACAACTCCTTCAGGGGCCGTTTGACATTACGACGGCACTGAAAAAAGGACCGAGGACCGTTTTTCACACTGACGACCATTGGCGCTGAACCCGTGGTCCCGTGACCAAAATTCAGACGCTTGCCAGCTGACTCGTATTTATGACGGTCGGAGCCTCCCCGGGGTGGGGTCACGTATGTCCCCTTTTTGCGGCCTTCTGACCAGCAAAGTAGATGGGGGGGGGGAAAGCTGGATTCGTTTAACGACCGCGGGACTAATTTAATCACTGTCGCGATTCACTTGGCAAGGGTGGCAAGGAAGGCCGTTAAACAGGGCAAAATTCACGTAGCAACCGACTCGCTTAGCGATGGAAATTTCGGGCTCAGTGGTGGTCGTACGTTGAGGACTACCTGTAAGTTGCTGGGGTGTCATTTTGGATTTTTTATTTGTTTCGACGCATGAAGGAACCCTTGTGGTTGAATTCCCCAATGTTTCCGACTTTGGGGACCTGCGGTGGGGGGTGGGTGGGAGGAGGAGATGGGTTTGCAGAAGTGTCCGGCAAGTGTGCACGGAGCTCCCTTTGTGTGGGGTGTGTGCACACGGGCCTGCCGCTCACGCAAAGGGAGGACACCCGCCGGCTGTGTTCACATGGTAAAGATGGTCTACCCAGCTACAGTTTGAAGAGTTAAGTCAACTGGTCTGATTGAACCAAACCAAAAATGAAGGTGCGAAATAACCACAATGGGATCATTTACACAAGGATCCCATTGAGTGGCGTGATTTTTAACCTTAGAATAATATTTCTCCACCTCAGCAACTTTGAGATGGGTGGACTTCAATTCCCAGAAGGCCCCAGCCAGCGTGCTTTCAGATGGGCAGAGTTCAACTCCCAGAATTCTCCAGCTGGCATGCATTAAAAGGGGTGGACTTCAAATCCCAGAATTCCCTAGCCAGTATGCTTTAAGATGGGTGGACCTCAATTCCCAGAATTCCCCAGCCAGCAAGCTTTAAAAGGGGTGGACTTCAACTCCCAGAATTCCCCAGCTAGCATGCTTTAAGAGGGGTGGACCTCAATTCCCAGAATTCCCCAGCCAGCAAGCTTTAAAAGGGGTGGACTTCAACTCCCAGAATTCCCCAGCTAGCATGCTTTAAGAGGGGTGGACCTCAATTCCCAGAATTCCCCAGCCGGCGTGCTTTAAGATGGGTGGACCTCAATTCCCAGAATTCCCCAGCCAGCATGCTTTAAAAGGGGTGGACTTCAACTCCCAGAATTCCCCAGCCAGCATGCTTTAAGATGGCTGGACCTCAATTCCCAGAATTCCCCAGCCAGCATACTTTAAAAGGGGTGGACCAACTCCCAGAATTCCCCAGCCAGCATACTTTAAAAGGGGTGGACCAACTCCCAGAATTCCCCAGCTAGCATGCTTTAAGAGGGGTGGACCTCAATTCCCAGAATTCCCCAGCCGGCAGGCTTTCAGTTTTTCAAGTTGAGAAAAACTGCCTTAGAAAGTCATTTCAGGATTTTGCATTGAGAAAGGACACCAACATTTACACACACTCCTTACAGTGAGAAAATAGGAGAAATTAAGTCTGCAGGTTTGGAAAAGATTATTTGGATTCCCCCTCTGTAATTTTGGTGTGTGTGTGTGTGTGTGTTTGTGTGTGTGTGTGAGAGAGAGAGGGGGGGGAAGAGAAAGAAAGAAAGAAAGAAAGAAAGAAAGAAAGAAAGAAAGAAAGAAAGAAAGAAAGAAAGAAAGAAAGAAAGAAAGAAAGAAAGAAAGAAAAACCTTTCAAAGAAAATTATTAAGAGGTTGGTCTTCTGGGAAGTTCTTCCAAGATCAGATATTTTTAAGTTTTTTTTAGTGTGTGTGTGTGTGTGTGTGTGTGTGTGTGTGTGTGTGTGTGAAAGAAAGAGATAGATGATGATAGGACAGATGATATAGATGAAAGAGAGAGAGAGAGAGAGAGAGAGAGAAAGAAAGAAAGAAAGAAAGAAAGAAAGAAAGAAAGAAAGAAAGAAAGAAAGAAAGAAAGAAAAAATGTTCAAAGAAAATTATTAAGAGGATGCTGTTGGCCTTCTGGAAGTTCTTCCAAGATCAGAGATTTCTAAGTTTTTTTTAGCATGCGTGTGTGTGTGTGTGTGTGTGAGTGTGTGTTTCAAAATGCCAAAGCCGAATACCTGGGCCATCCAGGAAAGTCCTTACCTGTTCTTCAAAATACCTGGCCTTTTCCTCGCTCAGCCCTGCAGGAGAAATTTGACACGGTCAAAGCGGAGCCGTGGAACCAGTAGTAGCCCTCCAGTGACTCAGAGGAGTCCAGCAGAGATAGACTTACCCAGGGTGATAAGATCTGCTCGGACCTCTTCAGCAGACAAGCTCCTCTTTAAAGCACCTGGAGTAAACATTGTGTAAAAATAAAAAAATCCAGCAAGAGAGCCCGGTTGACAAACACACAAAGAGAAGATAAGGCACGCGCTGGCCTCAAGGACCTCAGAGCGAATTTATGGGAGAAGAACAAGTTAACTGGGGCCCTTTTGGGGTCCTTGCGATTCACCCTAAATTTGAAGTTTATTATATTTTATTTTATTTCTGGGTTTTTTTAATTTTATTTTATGACTTGGTTTCTATTTTTTTTTATTTTGTTATAGCATTTGATTCCTATTATTTTATTTTATTTTATGATCTGATTTGATTTCTATTTTTATTTGATTTCTGTCTTTTCTTTGATTTTATTATTTGAGCTCTATTTTTTTTGCCCTATTTTATTGCCTGATTTCTATTTTTTGTTTTGTTATCTT